CGGGCATGGGGAGGGAGGACCAGGGGCACCCAGGGGCCGTGTCTCCTCGGGGATCCCCCGGAATCCCCGGGTAGATGCGCCCAGGCCCCCTTCCCGGGGCCGAGTGAGAGCTCTGCCCTGTGGACCGCCGCGATCTCTTGGTCAGCGCACCTTCCACCCTCAGGAAATGGGGTGCCCGGGTCCGCGGGCCGTTTTCGGTTATTTTCTGGGTGGGAGGGAGCATTTTCTCTAAGGACCAGCACCTTGGAGTCGGCATTATCTGCCGGATGAGGATAAGGTGCCAGGCGGGCGGGAGTGGGTTTTCCACTGAGCTGTCTGCCTGCCTACCTTTGAGAAGCGGAGATTAGCCCTTTTCCTTCGCTTTTCCTTCCTTCCTCCTCTCGATTGAACAGGCTCCGCGGCGAGTTTCCACTTCAGTGAGACCTTCGCGTTGCTGTCGGGTGGTGGGAGGCAGATGCCTCGGTGATGGTTTTCTTCTTCATGTGGTACAGACCTGTGAGGGGAAGTGGAGAGGCCTTTTAACCTGTTTATTTAAACTCAAGTTGCCTAAACTTGACAGGGATGATTTCCCAGCTGGATTTTCCTTCTGTTTATTTGATGAGCGCTTTCAGGCTTCAATTACATTTTGCCAGATGATGTAATGGCACATCCCCGCTCCCGTTTTTACTGGTGGCTATGACTCTGGTTACCTGGGAGCTCACACACACACACACAAATCTCTGATTTTTATTTGAAATCACATTTAAACACTTTGAGAGTTTGCTTCGGTCCATTTAAAGATCATCACTTGTCATGCGGCTGCCAGTGACAAATAGGAAAAGTTTGGAGAGCATGACACATGTTTTTTATTCCTCCTTGCAATTCGTTTCTTAAAACCTCCCTCTTACGTGACTAAAAACTTAACTAAAATAACTCATTCTTCTTTAAAGTAGTGGGAATAATGTTTTGATTTGGTAGGTGTTTCAAAAATATCTAAGGGCCATGATAACTGGAAATTGTTAGGACGAACTCTTTACATGAAAGCAGTGCAGCAAAGTGGACAGTAATAAATGGCACATTTTAAAATGTGGGTCCAGATGATTGGTAAATTGGAGTTATGGTTAGGAATTACTTGGGGAAATGCTTTGAAGGAATATGTCACCCATCTGCTGGCAAAACCAGTTCCTTCTGTTGGTACCCCGGCCTCCAGGGCGGATCTACAGAGTTATTAACTTGCAACTAGCTTGTGTTTCCACAGTAGCTGTTCTAAATTGATTAAACAATGCATGCGCGTGCTTTCAGAAACAGGTATCTGGATGTAGGTCCTCAAGTGATCACCCTTCCAAAAATATTCACTTATCTTAGTATAACTGAAAACTTGAAGGTTTGGAATAAAAACTTGGAGAAATTGATGCAGTGTGCACACAGGTCTACAGACTGTTATCTGAAACCCTTGGAGCTTTGGAATTCAGAGTTTTCAGATTCTAGAAAGGTAATGTAGTACATATATAATATCCACCATAACACCCAATATTCACCATAATCAAGCATATTAACAGCTCTTCAGTGAAATGTGTGTGTGTGTTCATGCTAAATGAAGTGAAGAGTATAATTAGCTTAGTATCAGTTCAGATCAGGTTGGATTGTCAAAGAGCTCAACAAAGGTCTGTTTTGTCACCAAATGAGTTACAAAAACCTTTTAGTTTCAAGAGCTTATAGGATTTTGGAAGTGTGAACAACAGATTATGGACTTGTACTACTAGTCAAACAAAAGAAGAGTTCAAGTTTTTTTAAATTTTGACTTAAGCTCTGAAAAAACATAGGCTAAATTAGGAGAGAATGAGGATAAGTAGAAAAACTAGAGATTCTGAAGGCAATTTCTGGTACCTTAAAAGGTTTTTCAGGGATGGTAGCATTTTTTCCTTTCCTTTTTTTTTTTTTAAATGGCATTCAGAATTTATGGGTCTTTGAATTGACAGGTTTGCCATTAGCACCGATGTTTTGAATCATCACAGGAGGGAAAATGACTTATTCTCAGGTTTTGCAGCAAGAGTTAGAAGAGCAAGGGGGAAGATGAGGAACTTGATGATGATGATGAGGAGGAGGAGGAGGATATGTGTGTATGTGTATGTGTATGTGTGTGTATGTGTGTATTTGTCGAAGAGAGATTTCTAGAGCTGGAGTTCTGAGTTACAGCAGTGAAAAGCCTAAGTCAAGAAAATATGTGCTTGGTCCTCCAGGGCAAGGGAGCCAGGATAGCTGGGATGGTGACAGAGTTCACCAGCAGGTGAGGAAGGTCTTGGTGTGGGGGCAAGGAAAGGCAGCTAGTGTCTGGTTTGTTTTTCAGCCTTCACATGGATTAAACAGAGCTTCTAGAAGTTTGCTTAGGAACCTGATTGCCATCAATAACGTTTTTCTTTGTCATTTTATTTTTAAATATATATATATTTATTTAAACTTTTAGAAAGGAGAGGTAGAGAGAGGAAAGGAGAGGTAGAGAGAGTTAGAAACATCAATGATGAGAGAGAATCATTGATCAGCTGCCTCCTGCATGCCACTACTGGGGATTGAGCCTGCAACCCAGGCATGTGCCCTTGACCAGAATCAAACCTGGACCTTCAGTCCGCAGGCTGACACTATCCACTGAGCCAAACCAGCTAGGGCTAAAATATATTTTTATTGATTTCAGAGAGATAGAAACATCAACGATGAGAGAGAATAATTGATCAGCTGCCTCCTGCACACCCCTTACTGGGGAGCAAGCCCACAACCTAGGCATGTGCCCTGACCGGGAATTGAACCATGACCTCCTGGTTTGTAGGTAAAAACTCAGCCACTGAGCCACACCGGCCAGGTTCTTTGAGCCATTTTAGTGCTTCTTCCTTTTTACCCCAGGTTAACAGCTTTATGTAGATTGTGTTTATGACTTAAGTAATGCAGCCCTGCAGTACTAACTTTTTTCCAAAAATTATGTCATGTTTTAATGAAAGTTTGGAAATAATTTAGAGTGATAGTGCCCTAAAATAATTAGAAGGCCAGGCTGTGATGACTCTAATTAAGCCTAAAGAGTTAGGACTATATCCTGGAAGTTTAAAGACAGGTGCAGGGGTGGGGCTGACGGTGTTGGAAAGTGCAGACCTAAAGTGATCGATCCTAAGATCACCAAAGTGTGAAGGAAGTCCATTCTAGCCAGGAAATACCTAACACAAAGGTCTTAAAACTGACGGACCACAGAGTTACCTTGATGCATGTTAAAGTCCTAATTTACAGATCTCACGCTAGAGTACCTTGTTTTCAACCTTTGATACACAGAATAACCTAGGGCCGTGGTCGGCAAACTGAGGCTCGTGAGCCACATGCGGCTCTTTGGCCCCTTGAGTGTGGCTCTTCCTAAGCCTTAGGAGTACCCTAATTAAGTTAATAACAATGTACCTACCTATATAATTTAAGTTTAAAAAATTTGGCTCTCAAAGGAAATTTCAATCGTTGTACGATTGATATTTGGCTCTGTTGACTAATGAGTTTGCCGACCACTGACCTAGGGGAACTTTTAAAGCCATATTTATCCAGGCCCAAATGTAGGCCAATTATATCAATTTCTAGGCATGGGACTCAGGCATTTTTTAAAAATTTCAGGTGTTGCTAAGATGGAAAATTGACACTTCATGTACTGAATTAGAAGCTCTATGAAATCTGTATTTTAACCAGACTGCCCGAAGTCTACATGGTTTAGGGAGCAGCATTAGAAGTGGACTAGTGAAAGGTATGGAGGCACAGAAATCAGGTGTGGTGGGGGAATGGTGAGAACCAGCAGTTAAATCAGTTTGAGTTAGAGATGCCCAAGAGGCTCAAATTAGAGCCCTCACAGGACTGTCAGTGTTGGGGTTTGCCTTGCAGCTGTGGAGAGATGATGCCAGTCCACTGAGTGGAGAATATGGAATTTGAAATAGTGCATGAGGATGAAGGTCTGATGATGTAAATCAGGGGTCCTCAAACTTTTTAAACAGGGGGCCAGTTCACTGTCCCTCAGACCGTTGGAGGGCCGGACTATAGTTTTTAAAAAAAACTATGAACAAATTCCTATACACACTGCACATATCTTATTTTGAAGTAAAAAACCAAAACGGGAACAAATACAATACCTGTATTTGCATGTGGCCCACAGGCCGTAGTTTGAGGACCCCTGATGTAAATAGTGAATCTACTGAGGTTGACAGCTTAGAGTGGAGCTGAATATTATAAACTAGTTGCTGATGTAACACAGAAGTTAAAAAAATTGGTGGATGGGAAAGGAGAACATGGTCAAAGGAGGAGCAGAAATAACAGTGACAAGTGAGGATGAGTTTGTCTACTTCAACATTTACATCAGGTAAACAGGGAAGGGAGGTTTTCCACAGGATAGGGAGGCAAAGAATGAAGTCGGGTTTAAGAAAGAGCCCGATTTTACTTAGGTCAGGGAGGTGAAGGGCAAAGGAGGAAACCTTTTAAAGGAAAGTTGCCCACAGTGAAGACCAGGAGATGTGTCAAGTATGTGGACAGTGAGGGGAAGAGTTTGAGGGAAAGAATAAGGGTGTGCAGAGGATTGGATGGGAAGTCGGTAATAAGAATGAGAAGTCTGTATATGTTGTGTTGGATGTACATAAATGGGCTGTGGAGCCACTGGGCCAAAATGTAACTACCAGTTACCATCTATTGTTTAGCTTCTGGGTAGATGTTACAGAAAACACAAAGATAAGGGACTTTTTGTTTTTGTTTTGTTCTGTTTTTCAAAAAAGGTTCCAACTTCAGGGTAGGCAGGGCCAACATATGACATCACAAAGCAAAGCAGCGTGTGAAAGCCATAGAAACAGTTTGCACTAGAGGAAAACGGAGAGAGATCACTGTGTGCAGAGCTGTGCAGAAAGGCCTTGATGTAAAGGTAGTCATTTAAGCTGCTGGCCGTCGAAGGGTGATAGGACTTGGATGGGCAAAAGAAAGTGGGGAACAGCAATCCTGTGGGGAAAGCAACATGAACAAGGCTTAAAGGGGAGAACTAGGGAGTAATAAAGCAAGCCCAATGGAAGCATACTGGGACTGTGTGGGAAGTGGGTAGGATTGCATGGGGGCTGGAGCTAGATCACCAGGCAGAGAAATTTGGACATTTTTTTCCTGTGGTTAGTGGGAAGCCATTGGAGTTTCTTAAATAACGGAACAACATAATGAAACCAGTGGTAATGGGTGGAGGTACTTAGACTGGAGGGGGGCGAGGAGGGAGAGTGTGAAGGGAGGAGCTTTGTAGTTAATTCCTGAATTGATGGGTACATCCACTAGGGTGGTAGCCATGTGATCAAGTGTGAGGGATGGAAGAATCTTTATGATGTGGAACCTAGCTAGATAACAGGAATGAAAGAGAAGGAAGCTTAATAAAGAGAAAAGATGCTAGAGTTTCCAGACGAGTTCTGTTAGAGAAAAATGTTCACATAAAAAGGCAATCCAGCCCTAACCGGTTTGGCTCAGTGGATAGAGCGTCGGCCT